TACAATAAGGCTTTCAAATAAGTCATGGTTGTACGGCAGTGAAGCATCGGTGTTGAACACTGATGTCATGCTGTCGATGATGATGAAGTTGATGATGACATATTTTCCATGGAAAAGAAGGTATACAATGTAGGTTATCAAACTATCCTCCCATTAAGCTGATAACCATGCATAGACACGCAGCATTTGAAAGATGATGTAAGTGCGTCGGATTGAGTGGTTGGAGCAAATAACCAAACAACCGTGTGCTGATTTGTGGGATGAGAGTAGCCACTTCCATGCATGGGAGCCACAGAAGACAAATCTTGTCCCATTCTTGCATGAACAAACCGATTTCACCAGGTATCAAGACAAAAGCAAGATAGTATTTCCATTTCTAAATTAAGAGACGTTAGAACGTGGATTAGAAGACTGGGGACATAGCTAATTATTTGTTGGTGCACAACAAATCATTTCACACGCTGTCGTACGTACAAGGCTCAGTATGTTAGCCTAATAACTACTAAAACACAACCGTTGTTCTCTTGATAAGTAACCTCCAAGGAAACAATATCCTTACCTCCTGGTAGAAGTAATTAAAAAAAACATACAGTACCTCCAGTAAGCACAATTAACAGGATATGCCCTAAACGGGGCACCTATTTTTCCCTAAAATGAAATTTATTTTATCCAAGATAATCGTATATTTGGACCGCAATTAGTTGGAAGGTTACTGCATTCTGGCTACCACCACATCAACAGGGGACCGCCAAAACAAGGCAGAAGCGTGGTACTAATGGCGGTAAGGCCATTGAGCAGCGTGTACTGACCTTAGGAACGGATTCAACTTGGCGAGTCTTCTATGCAACGCATAAGACTCTGATGGAATGCATGGGGTTCCTGTCACCGTGCTGATTATACCGTTGCTACTAACGGTAATGTTTACGATGGTGATTGGATTTTGGACGGAACTGTATGTCGACTTGAGTGTTTTGTGAATTGGTTGAAAGCTGGATCTCAGTTGTTTCTACGGGGAGCATCTTCCTATTCTTTATCGTGCACTATGCATTTCAGATCCGTTTCTCCTGCCACACCTTCAAGTGGACCGTGGGGCTATCAAACACGTGCTCAACGGCTCCAACATAATGTGTCCAGGTCTCACTTCCTCCGGTGCTCGTATGACACAGGTACCGCAGGGCTCGATTGTTGCTATCATGGCCGAGGGCAAAGAACACGCTCTCGCAGTTGGGTCCACGGTTATGTCTACGGACGAAATGTAGGTTACTCTCAACTGTATCTAGCTTCGCTAACATGACGATTTTAATATAAATCCTTAGGTGTGATTCAATTCCGACTGTTCTGTTGTCCAGTATTTTGGCAGGCCACCACTTAAGACCGGAATCTGATTTCGCGTTCCCGACGCAAATTTTCTTTAATCCTAACATCAAGCTTCGAATGGGGTTGAATTTTCTTCCATATTTAAGATGAACATAGGGACAGTATAGTTAAACGACTGTACTTGCATACAGCAATGGTGGTTTCACTATTTCCAGAAGTATTATGATTTTAATCATTGATAATTTAAGGGAGCTCCGAAGGAACTGATAGTCCGCTAGGTTATTCAAGTCTACGTAAAAGCAAGTGAATAACCGAGAACAAGTTCGTGTCAACAGTCTCCTGGTCATTAGCTTGTACCTCAGCCTCTGATCAAGAGTAGAGACCACTTGTAAACTAGTTAAAGAACCGGTTGCGCTAATGGTCTGTGACTTGATGTTTACTTACCGAGCCGATATTTACTCAATTTGCTTGCTACAACCGCTTCTGCATACATAACCCACACCTAGCTGGATACGGAGGAGCGCATGCATCACCTCATCCCCTCAAGTTCGGGACAAGAGCATGTTTTGCAACCTGTCCCCTACTGAGGTAGCCATACGCCAGCCAGCGCTGTCTTTTAGTCGGGCTTGCGAGCTAAAGAATTTTGGTTAATGACTAATTGTTCTCTTGCCTAACTTTAAGCGTCCCAGAAGTAGCTCAGCCCACACAACTGTGATTAGGTAAACCTTGTTCAGTTCTCGACTACCATTCATCGTCTTGCGATAAAGTCGTTGCTTCTACTCATGCTGTCCTCCAACGCATGTTTTCATTAAAGTTGTCGGGTCCACCTAAGGACCAAGATCTCCCGTAGGCAATAGAAAAGATTTGTTATCCAGAGGTTGAACAAATCTATCAAACCCCACGCGTCACCAAGAGACTGAACTGCATTGTGGTACCTGAGTAAACCATTGAGGATGTCCGTGTGGCATCCAGGTTAGTAAATACATTGGATCTGACAAACAGTCCCCTGTCACTTTAGGTTGAAGTTTAGAACAAGTGGAACAGTTTGTACTACTCAAGTAGTCTCAAGCCAACCACCATCGCCTTGCAGACAGACTTTTGAATCAAATGCTTTGATTAAGTGTCTTAATTGCTCTCTCTGGAGTTCCCTGAGGTGCATACTGCTGACGATTCCCGATAAATTTGAAACAGTCTTGCAGTGCCCTCGGCCTTTCAGCATAGATTAGTTCCATATCCCAGGTGATACGCGCCACTGAAGTGCTAGTATATAGTCATAACTCGAGTACAGCTGTTCTTATTTGGTATGGGGTTGCTCCAGGATAGAAGCTGGAGTGTTCGAACGCTAGATGTTACGTCCACGGCATAGCCCGAGTTCGTTGGTTAAGGCGGAAATTTACTGACCCAAGAGTGCGTGATGCAAACCCAACTCCAGCGTGTCAACTGCTGTTTATGCAAACTGACAGCATCTCGGCCTTCGTGCTCCCTTCGGGTGGCACGGCAGCTAGACACTGAAATGGTGTTGCAGCTGAACGATTATTTTTTTATTCAAACGGAGCGTGCACCCCTTTTGGGGAATCCTGTGGGAATGTCACCGTCATGTTGCATTGTAATCATATTGACTTTTTCTCTATGTATTTGCATGGTATATTCTCCATTTCTCTAGCCTTTCAGTGAACAAAGGTATCGGTGTGGAGAACTTGCACTATTTGCTGGATGGTCTTTGGCGCTTAAAACCTCTCAGATGATTCTGCTGGTTTCGGAGCTCTTCGCTTGCAAATCTCATGTATAGTTTAATCATCGCCCTATTTTCACTGTTTAAATTATGTGAAATAAACTGACTATATACGCTTCTTTTCTTTTGCCTAACTCATTCCCGTAATGTTGTTCTGGTTTCAATTTACTACTCCGTAAGTGGAGTAAGATTGTGCGGCGTCATTACTTTTCAAGCTTTCAAAAGTTTGAGGCAGTACGCCGTTGGTCTCTTTCAGGGTCCGGTCTTACTCACACCTCCGGAGAATACCGCTGGCGCCTTCGGAACCCCCCGTTGCCTTTTTATACACACGATTAGAATTTGATCAACTCCTCAAGCAATTACTGCAGGATCACTCTCTGCCTAGGACCGATCAACTAAGTGCGCAGTGTTGCTACCTATGCCTTAGTTGAATATGACTAAAATACTATTTGACTACAGTAAATTTCCTGTTGGAACTGTTGCTGTAAAATAACTCAAAAGGAACCGGAACTCCACACAATTGCCAAACTATTCAGGTTAGCCATTTTGTTACAGCATTTTTATTGACCGGAATATATTGCTATCCAGTTTTCTATAACCGGTTCGTAAAAACCAACAATTTATTACAAAACCTATGTGATGACTTGCGCGATGGCTCACTGAATTGTTATGCGCCAAAAAGTGCACATAGGAAGTTCATCATTGGTGTGCACATGAAAGTGGTTTGCAGATTTTAACAGGGAAGTACCACGTTTCTGTTATTTGAGTAGCTTAATGGATCCCTGCTGCCATTTTGGCTTCGAGCACAGTGCCTTCATATATGCCATACATGACATGTCAATGGCTACTCGTTTTTCAGTGAACAGGTGCTCGTGTAGGTTAATCTGGGACAACTTTTCAGACCATGTAAGCGGCGGTGCCATCCGAGTTACCTAGGTCAACACGCAGAATCGATGAATTTGATCTTAATGCTCGACAAATCATGCAGATAAATTTTGCTTCACATAGTTCCTGTTAGGCATCTTTCTACGATGTAATTCCAGACGAAAAAACTGATCTAAACGCCACGACTCAAAATCACAGGATAATCTGAAGTGGAGCGATGGAGGCATATGATTAAAGTGTTTTTATGCTAATTCAGCCAAAATATGACAAGGAATGGATAATGGACTGACCACATCCAGAGTCTTGTAACAATTGATCGGCGTTCTTGTCCAACACATATGACAATATACTTCGCATGCACATCTGTCACCCAAGAATTGACCCGATTTCTCGAAGTCCTACTGGCGAACTAATTTTAGTGCATCCAACATGCACTTGTGTAGTAGGGCTTAATTCTTGACCATAAACTACAGTCAGAATTATGCCGTACAACCGATGGATCGGGGAAGGCCAATAGCCTTTTGAATGAACGACTTATTGGCTACCAATTGAGTGGGAGTTTTGTTCACAACTTAGTCACCGTTTACCAAGAACCATGTAAGTGTCCCTTATCTGTTATTTATTATCACTGCGGGTACCGTCGGTTAACGCTTCTCTGGTCGAAATTGAGACAAATGTATCCATGCCGTTGGCGAGGACTAGAAAGTTTTTCCCCGACCTAAGGCTGCCACCTTGACGTGGTGGTCGGGTTGCAATGATCCCGCGGGCCACACCGGCTGGAACTTCGTTCCACAAGATGCAACCATGCCAGGAAGGCCAAAGTGGAGCAGCCAGACCAAATGCAGCGAGAACCCGTACTACGAGTAATCGTGCTACGAGGCGGTCTGCGGGTAAAGTC